CACCATATAATAGAATTTTCTTTCCTCTGCTGTCTAGAGTTTCTGCTGTTTCAGCCTGCGTCCTCTGTGTTAAATGTGGCCAGGCTCTCACCGGCAGTTGGGTGACCAAGACATGGGAGACAGAAGTAGGGCTACTCAGCAGCAGCCGCTTTTTTCTTTGGGATGCATTATCCCTAGGCACATTCATAATGAGATATCCATGTGCCCAAGCAGACGTCCCGGACACCTCTAATTTCCAGCAGACTGTAGAGGGGTGCTGCACATCTAGTACATGGTAGAAGAGGTGGGTTCAGGTCTTGCCTGTGCTTCTTGAACTCTGCAGCATCACGAGCCCTGGGACTGAGGGGAATGTGCATGTACTGGTAATGCGTAAAAGGAGAACATCTTTTGGTTTACTGGCAAATAGCTCCTTTTAGCTGACTGCAGGGCTGCGGATATCTCCAAATAATCCCCTTATCTGAAGGAAGAGCTCTGAAATCAAGTGATATGGCTAGACTTGCTCTGCTGATGCCTGCCAAGTGCCTCAATAGCAACATGTTTTCTAGCAAAAATGTGACTCCAAATGGCAGCTCCAAAGATGCTACAGAAAGCTTACGCTCTAGTAGTTGATGTTGGCGGTTTCAAACTTCCGTGCCAGGGCTTGCTGGGTGCCCTCCAGAAGGGAGATGAACAGAAGGACTCAGTGATCTTAAGTATGAAAAAACCTGTTTTTCTATCACAATCCATTTCCTGCTCCTTTACAACAATGTACCACATTCTCTCCAGTGCAGCTGTGCTGAACAATGTTAGGAATGACTGAGAAATAAGGATGTCCCAGGTCCCAGTGGAAAGCTGAGGGGCATCAGCCCACCCTCTGAGCAGAAATCCCATCAGAAGTGGGGTCATCTGGAGGGAGAGTGGCAGTTCCCAGTTAGCTCAGTCCATAAGCAAGGCAGTGGAAGTGCTGAGTCAGGTAGGGCACAAGGGGGCTCTGCACTTGCACTAGCCACCCATTTAAGAAAACCTGTGGAGGCTCAACAGAAAGCAGTTCTTACCAACATCTGCAAAATCATGTATCTGACACATGTAGGCCAACAGTATGGAGGCAAGGAACTGCAAAGGAGACCACTCCTTTTGGCTGACCAACCTTTGACAAACACCCATGGAGGAGGTGAAATGTGTGCATTCCCTGGTGCGTGCTTCTTTGACTTGATGAAGGATAAGTCATAGAGCTCCTCCACCCAATGTAGCAGGAGACAAAAGACATAAACAGTGGATAGTAACGAACAAAACACTTCCCTTGAACACTGAAGAAGGGGTTAATCCCCAACATAACGCCCAATTCATCGTTCAGAAACACAATTCTTCTGGGGAAAATAATCTGAGTTAAAAAAAAAGAAGTGGCCCGAGAACATCTGAAGCTTCACAAATGCATTGTTGAGAGGATGGATCTGCCCAACAGACTGTACTACCATTTCCTGCCTCTCTGGCTGGGTTTTGGGTGTCAGTCAGTTAGAAGATTGTACATTTCTTGGGAGATGTTTCTCCCCCAGACAACAAAAACATGTCCCGTGACATAGATAAAGGAATGTCTCCCTTGGGAAGTACATAGTTTGAAACTCAGCTGACCAGAGAGAAGCTTATGATGGAGAAAAGATATGAAGGATAAAAGAGTAAAAAACAGGCTGCTGTGCATAACGTAAGTTGGGGAGAGAAAGCAAAGGTGGGATCCTTGCATTTTTGCCTCCTATGCATGATGTACGCAAGAGGCAGGATATAGTTGTAGATATGTCCCTTGTATTTGAGCTGAAGACCTCCTGTTTGAGTGCACAGGCCCTCACCCTTAATATGAACATGGGCAACTGCTTAAAAGAAGGCAAAAAGCCATCTTCCAACAACTTCTTATGGAGCATTTGCTTTCGTTTCATAATGAACTAACGGCAAACTAGCAACATGGCGGGGTGGGGTGGGGTGGGGAGAAATGCTATGGGTTCACTAGCCCGTTCTGATCAAATCATGAATCGCAGCAAGAAATCCTCTGCTGCGTCCATAATACCGTGCACAGGGGAGGAAGGAATGTGGCTGAACGACCAGCCACACCACTT